ATCTCTTTTGAATCTTATAAATATTTGGATTACTGCTAGACTTCCTTTTTTTTTTAATTGGAAAAAAAATCCATTTTGGAATATGAATTCTGTTATGATGCATCTCTAAATTGAGTTATTTCTTTTTTATTGTGCATCTTTTTTTAAATTCGATGACATACATTTTGGCAACATCAAGACCAACTTGTTTGTATAATTTTTTATTAGGATAGCTGGTAATTTTTTAAATTATAAATATTGTTAAACATTAAAATAACAATAAAATAATAAAATTACGTTTTTAGAAAAATAGTATAAAGATAAAACATTTTGATTTTCTTTCATTTTTTTGGTTACCAAAATGAAATATGAATAAATACAGTTTTAAGATAATAAATATTATGAAGCTGTTTCTGAATTACTTCTTAGAAAGCAAAACTGCTATTGTAGATATTTTTAAATCTGCTTCCACATTTTTTAGGTAGCAGCTTCTTCCTGTGTAACTTTTAAAAGGTTCATGTGCACTAGTCATCAAAATTAAAGGATAATGAGAAAAAAATTAATCACTAAGTTAATGTCACAACCAGTGACCCATGTTGTAATTATTTATGTTATTTAAATACAATTGAACACAAAACTGCACTTCCATGCATATGCAAAATCGGTGGAAATATGCAAATCCGGTGACTGATAATGCGGTGCATGATGGATGCATGTTGTAGTGTTTAAAATGAATGGGGTTCCTTCGAGTGATCAGTATTCAGTAGTTATGGTACAAAGGCATCATTTAGTGAAGGTCATCAAATTGTCATATCAAGAGTTTGGACCTGTTTTTTAATCTCTGGATCAATTGATAGATAGCCTGGTGAAAGGCAACCTAGAGCGACAACTGCATTAGAAGATGTTGTTTTGTCTTTGTTCGTTCAAAAAAAACCTTGAAGCGACTACAAGAGATTTGGTTTTAAACCTTCAGTATGCCACAGGAACTCAAATTAGCTATTCTTCTGCATGAAGGCTTAAAGAGGTTGGACTGTATGTCAGAAAATAAATGGTTTGTGTTCCATTCACTTCATATTCCCTTTTAAACTGGTGCTGTCATCATGTTCAATGTAGCCAAGATCACAAGGCTTGAGTATTGTTTACTGATGAGTCCAAATATAGTCTGAATTTTCTAGATTTCTAGATGTCTTTAGAGAGAGGAAGGAGTATGCAACTTGCCTTCCATTCTCCATGAAATATCTTGTTTCCGCTACCGTGATTTAACGGTTTGAGGAGGAGTCATGACAGATGGCCAGAGCGAGCTGCATTATTTTTCATAGAGGTTTTGTAATCGTTCAGAAATATGTGCATGAGTTACTGGAATTCCAGGGTAGACTATTTAGGGCTGCTGTTGGCCAAGAGTTTTTGCTAATGGATGACAATGCTGAGCCTCATCCAGAATATGTGGTGTCAGAATACTTACAAACAGAAAATATCACTCAGATGGATTGATCACCTTATTCACCTTAGGATACCAAATTCCTCCCCTGACCCTCCAGTAGCTGAAAAGTGCACTTTTAGAAGACTGATTTGCAGTTCCAGAAGACCTGATCAACACTTTGGTTAAGTCTATGAAATCAAGATATTAGGTATTCATATGTGTCCAAGGTATTAAAGAACATATATTCCATGGGAAGTTACTTAACTTTTCCATCATTTTTCAGTTTCCATAAATTTCGTTTTAATTTCAATATTGTGCAAATAATCAACTGCCAAACATCGTAATTTTTGTTAACTAATACTTTTGTACGAATTTCTATTAATAATTTTTCATTAAGTAACAGTTGCATTTTATTTCTATCATCATGCTTTAATTTTGATTGACCAATGTATTTGTCAGTAAGTTAAAGTATGTCTCCTTGAAATTCACTGTAAGCTTTTTTTTTTTCCAGAAGGTTTTTAAAAAAATATTCTTGGTAAAGGTTTTGCATATGACAATAGGCTGCCTGTAAATGCAATTTTTCTGTGTGGAGGCTGCATACCTGGGAAGGCTATACAAAGATTTGAAAGCAAGACCCATGATTAATATTCACTGAAATCCAGAAATGAATTGTGACTAACTGAAAAGTGTGTTCCTGGTTGTAGCACAGAACATATTGGTTTTACTGGATGATTGTTATAAATTTCTCGCACTCATTGTAGAATTTTTGGAAAAAAGCTGTGAAACTAATATTATTTTAATTTTCTATTTTTGATGCTATAATTTATTCTCTCGACACATTTCTTTCTTCCCGCCCCTAGAATTTCCATTCATTTTGCTGTGCATAGTCTAGAAAATTGCAGAAAAGATTTTAATCTTTTCACATGGACTGGAATTTATGGAAAGGAACTTATCTTTTAATAAAGATGTTGATAGTTGATAATTAAAAATGTTTATGTTATGCATTATTTCAGTGAGCCGTATGTCTTTTCCGAAAATTTCCTGATGTTATTCCGAATATTGATATAAATAAATAAGGTTAGGTACTTCTGAACATTCCAAACCCAGCAGGATTTGTAAAACAAAAATCTTCATCTGAATATGAAAAGCCATTAATAAAGAGAAACATACTGAGAAGAAATTATTAACATAAAGAAAAGAAAATTATTTTTAATTGATATTATTGGAAATATTAACAAATTAGCAGATGAAGCAAAAACCAGTAGAAGAGTTGATTTGTTTATTGAAACAAATGCACTCATAAGTGTTATTGAGAAGGAAATAGATATAAATTAGCTAGCATATTCAGGAAATTTTTTAATTAAAAACTTGTGTGAATAGTAAAGAGTTATGGATATTTTTTAGCTTTTTATATATAATTGCTCTTTGTAAATTCTTTACTGTGATAAATCACAGATGTAATAACCTGTTACTTTAAATTTTAAAATTTCCTTTGATTATGAGTCTAATAGTGTTTTTTGAATGAATAATTTTTACAAATGCAAAATCCTTTTAATATTTACTATGTAAATCTGCTTTAAAGTGTTAGTGTTTATCAGAAATGTGAATATAAGCATATCAGGAATTTGTATTCCTACTTAACATGAATTACTTGATAAATTTTAGATGGAGAATTTTATTCTGAAATTTGTTTTACAATTAGGTAAGAAATTAGATTATGTGTAATAATAACATAATAATACATCTTACATATGCTTCTGTTTTATTTTGAGAATGGAATTACAAAAGTAAAGTTGGTTGCACAGGTAATTTCTTTAATTTATTCAATTCCCATTTATTGATAGGTTCTTAATTTTTCTCATTCTTGGTCCTTAAATTTTCTTGATTTCCATATGCAGAAATGTATATGAACTCTCTTATGCATCCTTATTCTGCTTCAGAACTGGAACTTATGTGATGCAACTAGATACAATTCCCAATGGCATATAACACATATCTGATACTCAGTCTGTTTAGTGTTGCATTACAATCATATTAAGACCTGCGGTTGTCCAATATCTTCAAAAAAACTCATGAATGACTTTCCAATGGAACTGTGTGGTTACACGTCACACTCAACTACTGCTGCTTCTCGATGTACAGCAGGTTGCAGTTCTGCCTTGGTCAGAAGATTTACCAGATCATATCTGGAATGAACATACAGCAATATGGCACTCTCACTGGTACAACAAAGACTAATGCAAAGTGCCTCAATCAAATGATCTGTGGCAACAAGTTAAAGCAGTGTTGCCAGAAATTTTTAAGCTAAAGTCGCATGATTTTTTTCATGTTATATGTTTGTTGAGCTGACATGACCTCTGACCTCTTGACATCATCAAAAATTCAGTCTCTGTGTGTTGAGCAGGTTTCGTGTTAAGGACTGTAATTAAAATTTTTGATCAATTTATTAGATATATTAGATTTGACTAAAATCTTTAAAGCATATTGCTAATTTTTCATTGTTTAAATCTCAGTCCTTTAAATGAATTAAAGTTAATTTGGGTTATTATTTTTCTATTAATTTGTTCATACCCATTGCTAGGTGCATTCTCAGGTTTAGATTGTTAACGCTGTTGTACAATTTTTTTTTTTGAATGTATGGTTTATCTTTTTTTACATGCCCTCAATCCATATTCAGTACATAACTTCCAATAAACATTTGTCGTAGCTATTTTAATTTATTTGACTATTTCTCAAGCATGGCTAATTTAAGACAAGCATTTTGAAAGGTGGTGCTGAATTTTTTTTATGTTACTTCATAATTTATACTTTATTAAACACACTAGCTGCAGTTTTGCTTTGGAATTGTAATCACCTGCCACCAAAATATAAAACAAGTAATCAGCCAAACATGTGGAAATACAAGCGGCTGTTCGTGAAAACTGTGTACATGTGTACTTATAGGCTGTGATCACAGGATTGCCAGTTGTCAACTGTTATTTTAGCCTAAATAATTTTACTTTTTTTTATAAATTTGAATAAATGCATTATTTTAACATATATGCATTTTATGGTATATTAAAAAACATTTAAGGTAATAAAAATAATGCAAAGAAATGATGGAGTGGGAGAAATTTTGAAAAATCTCATTTGTCAAAGGTCTCAAATTTATGAAAACCTGCACAATCTGGCAACACTAAATTATAGCTGCTTAGCGTGCAACATCCCAAAATGCTACCTAAAATTTCTTTGACTCTGCCTCGCTGTGTAGAGTCTGTCATTGCTGGTGACGGGGGATCTTCCAGTGCTGTTCATAGCAAATTCTGTTTGTTCAACACACTTGAAATTGTAACAATCTCACATTTTTGTGATAAGGAATCTGTAAAGTAAGCTTAGTTTTGTTCTGTTATCTTTCTTCCTTTTTGATACTGCCATTTTAATGGTAAACAGTGAGAACCACTAGCATCTGGTTCTTAAGTGTCCAGTTACTGATGTAAGTAGGTATGTGGTTATTAAGGGAGGATGATGGCCAAGCTGTTGATTTGTAATATTTAGTATGTTTTAATTGTTCCTGTTGTAATAGTATATGCATCTATGAAAATAATATTTTATTGCATTTCAGTTTTAAAGCTATTGTGGATTATATTGATACTCAGTTTGAAATGTTTCTGCAAGAAGAATTAAAAATTAAAAGATCTCTTGTAACCTATCATGATACCAGAATTCATACATGTTTGTATTTCATCAGTCCAACTGGGCATGGGTAAGTTTATGGCTCTTGATTAACAACTCCTGATTATCTGTATTAAAAGTGCCTAGAACGTAAAGTGGTTTAATTATTTTTATTCCATATGCTAAAAATAGATTTTGTTGATGATACTCATATACCCAAATATTACATTTAGGGCTATTTGAATTAAGAATAACTGATTTGTTATTCATATAAACCCAGAACCAGCACCAAGGCTCGTATGGCCATACCGAGTAGCTGAATTTAGGAGCCACAAAGACTGCATCAAGCAGTAAGATATCTAGCACTGGCCCCCAATAAGGCTTAAGTATATGTGGGAATTTATTTATTCAGAACTCTGATAAGTCTTAAGCATGTGCAAGAAATAGACATAAGTATAATAAATAACTAAACTAATACAATTCAGGCTTAATTGTCTGAGTGCATGATAGAAGCAAGATAAAATTTAACGGAAAACTTGTCATAATCGCCAAGCTAACATCTGACGAATAGTATTAGTGAAGGGTATGATAATTGATTTGATTTTTTGAAGGTAATTTTGAGAAGGTTTGCAATTGCAAAATAGGTTTTTTCCGTTATGGGATTTGAAAGAAAATGATAAAGAAGGTGTATTGAATGATGATGATCAAAAGAATTTTTTGTTCCTTAAATGCTTGTCAATCTCAATAAATTAATATGGCACAAAATCTGTACTTGGTTTAGAGCCATAAACCGCTACTGATAGTGAAGGAAATGGACAGAGAGTTCTGAAAATGAGAAATTTCTATTGACAAGTTAGTTGGAATTCTTGAAACACGCAGTACCAGGGACTTCAACAAGTAAGAGAAAGAGATATGTCTGTCTACAGAATTAAAGGAAAGTAGTAGCACAAAAACGAAGCAACATAAACAACTTGCACTGAAGAAATGTTCAACAGGAAAACACAAAAATATTAAGTTTTTTTTCTAAGTTTTTTGATAGCCTTTTATTATAAATACTTATATTTCATAAATCATGATTCATTATGTTATTTTTAGAATTGTACATGCCATCTTACTATTTTAACTGATGATCTAATATCGGAAAATCCCAAATCGGAATCGCGAAGCCCGAGATCCGACACGAATTTTGGACTCGTCGGTTCGGTAGTTTTTCTCCTATGTCAGTTTTAGTTGCTTGTTTGAGTTGTACAATTTGGCAACCCCAGTGAAGATTTATTGAGATTTTAAAGAAAAGAAATTTTACACAGAAAGTTCGTTCAGAATCCTAACTTGCAATACACTAACATTTTAACCGCTAGCATTGACTTCAACCGTTGCCATAAGGGGGGAAAGGGAAAGAGAGTCCTTTTGCAATAGCAATTTCTTCTGTAACCAATATCCGGTAATGGTAGACTTCTTAGCCGTTTCTCAGAAAGGATCTCTTCATCTTCTTTTAAGTCATAAATTGAAACTTAATATTTTCTGCTGTGGTTGTTCCTAAATTTGGGGATACTGTACATTAAAGCAGCTTACATATCCAAGCTTTTTTAAATGATTATATTTACTACTTAATGAATCTGCTAGTATTTGAACCATTTAATGGGAATTTTCTTAGATGACCTCTTAGAAAATCATTTAAAGATTGGGCTCGACTTTGAGGCTGAGCTATCCTGTTTTAAACTTTTCAAATTAGCTGTAAACTGTATTATCAAGCATTGCATTATTGAGAACTGCATTACTTTTGTCCATGTACTGCCCAAATTTTATTTATTTATTTATTTTTTTTTTTTTTTTGTAATTGTTATTATTTGAAATAAAAGAAAGAAAAACGAAGTTTTTGAAACTTTACTTTTAGTACTGCTCTGAAATGAAGACTGTAGTATGTACGAAATGACCTATAAGCTAGAATCAAGATCACTCTCTGTCAACAATAGTAAAAAATAAAACAGAAAATTCTATGAGTGTGAACAATAGCAGCATTTTTTAGATGACTCAGTATTTCTCGTAGATGGTACTTTCATTATTGCATCTATAATTTCCGATTTGGGTTTTTTAAGTATATGCATACCTACATAGAATTTTGGTAGTTTTTTTATGTTTAATCTTCTGAGTCTTAAGTAGAATTTTTGTGACTAGGTAAGTATTTTTTGTCTTTCCTTCAATATTTGGAAATCAGGGTTTGCCATATATGTGTGTATTGACAATATGGGAGTGTAAGAAATTCTCATTGTGTTATGAAGAAAAACCTGAAAATTGATATTAGACAACAACCCTGAGTAACAAGGGTTTGGTAGTAGGGAAAAAAAAATCAAAATTGAATCAGTTATTTTAGATAGTTTTACAGTAAAACAGATATAAAACTTCCCAGGAGATGGATTTTGATAGATTGCAATACAGTGACATGGGAAAGCTTAATACATTTATTTTTGGCCAGGGTTACAATATTATAAATTGATGGCTTTGTTAGGACAAAAAGTAATGAAACAGTCCTTAACTTCAGATGGTTTATGAACTGCTATCCAGTAACCACAGCAAAAAATACCATCATGGTTCCACCAGGGCTCAACATTGAAAGGTTACTTAGCCTTCTCTTAGAAATGGATATTGAAAGAATTATGCTGGCAGGAACCCTGGAGCCTGGGTGAGAGACGAGATGGACTCAATAGTACAAACTCACACCTCTGATGGAAATAGATATGCAAGCAGTAGAGTTATCAATGGCGAACAGAGTGGTCCTCTTCAGTTAGCAATCCATTTCTTGGTCACAACTGATAAAAAGTCTTAAGACATTCAATCGACACTACAAAAACATGTGAAAATTTTCCATGTTAAGAAAAAACTAATACAAATTTTTAAATTTTTTCTTCCCTGAATTCCAATCCCTTACATCTTTAATACCAACCTAGACAAACAGTAGAGTTGTTACGAAGCGAATAACGATACTAATGCGTAGTTCGAAAGGCTAGTAATAACTTGACGATTCTTGTTCGAACGCTAATTTTGTTTCGACGAATTTGCATCAGTGGTAAATTTGATCTTGATTTGGTACACAAACACATGACGATATCTTTCATTTATATTTAATGAAAGCCACCAAAATATATCACAGTAATACACATACATCGCAATGGCGTAACCTACAGTTACATAATGTCAAAAAACAGACAGAATTCTTTGGCGCAACAGCGCCCTCTATACCTATGAAAAGTTCCAACACACCCCACCTGTGCTCTTTTAAGAGCACATTAAGATTTACATATCAATAATATATTTTAGATATAATCACAAATCTAATATGCACAAATCAATACTGAAAACTACATTGCAAATTAATATAATACATGACACACAAAATATATTATATATAACTTTAAAACTTTCAAAAGGATAGATTAATTGGAACGGGTCTTCGATAAAGTCCTTAAGAAGTACGAATCAAACATGAACGCACATACCCATCCCTACCTTTATAAACTTCTTCTATAATTCCAATAGGCCATAAAAATTTTGATTTCGTCGACCCCTCCAGCAATACAACCTCACCCTTTTTAAGATTCCTTTCAGGAGATGGATTTAGAAAAGTATGCGCAGACTGTAATTCGAGGAGATAATTCTCCTTCCACTTTTTCCAAATTTGTTTCTAAAGATTAGTTTGATACAGTTTTCTCCTAGTCAAAGTCTGCCTGTTCAATGGTTCATTCCTGAAAAGGTCGGCGAAATGTACAGGATAAGAAATATATTCTTGCCCTGGAAACAAGAAATGGGCAGGTGTAAGAGCTTCTGGCTCTTTTATTTCATTATGGACATAAGTAAGAGGTCTATGATTTAAACTAACTCAATTTCTGATAGAATAGTCATCATTTCCTCAAAGTTAAGAAGAGCCCTTCCGAGAACCTTTCTCAAAGGATCTTTGATACTTTTCATAAGCCTTTCATAAAAACCACCCCACCAGGCGCGTGAAATATATTGCCAAGTTATGCCGTTTATTGATATGAAATCATTTCATTTTGAATCTATTATAATTTATACAAATTCTTTGTGAATTTCATTAGTGGCCTTGAAGCTCTTAGCGTTGTCGGAAATGGTAACTTTACAATTTCCTTCCTTAGCAATAAAAATCTCCCCAGTGACAAAATGAAATTTTTTGTTGACATATTTGTGATTAATTCAATGTGCACAGCTATGTAAATAATATTGCCTAAGCCTTTTTGAGGTGGGTCCTTTCCTGATTTTATTAAAACTGGACTAGTAAAATCGATTCCATTTACAGTAAAAGGAGGGTTTTTCAGTAATTCTACATTTAGGTAGTTGACTAGTTATTTGTTTAGCTGGTTTCAACTTATACTTTCGACAAATTAGGCAGTTACCTAATACTCTTTTTATAATTTTGTCTACCTCGTGGAATCCAAAATCTAGACCTAATTTTGGCTAGCGTAAATGTAACTCCACCATGAAAAATTTTATTATGTTCTCGAATAATAATTAACTCTGTAAATTTAGACTGCTTAGGAAGAAGTATAGGATGAGCTTCATCCTTTGTAAACGCTCCTTGTTCTAACCTTCCTTTTATGCGCAATACACCACAACTGTCGAGAAATGGGGCTAAATTCGAAAGTGGAGAGTTTTTTGGGAATCGATTTACCATTTTAAGGTTCTGTAATTCTAAGTTGAACTCTATGTTTTGCTCATGTTTTATCCAGTCTATTTCAGCATTTTGAAGTTCTTCTGCTGTGAGGGGACCTGCAATCGTTTGTCGTTTTTGAAGTTTATTAACAAACCGTTTAACTAGTGCAGTTACTCTTAGTACTTTTAACAAACAACTATGTTTCCTTAAATCTGAAATAAATATCGAATTTTCTACCAAACAGTTATTTTGCACTGTACTTTCAAATTCTTTTTTTAGCTCTAAGTCTACGTCTGTAGATTTTAAGTTCTCTCTTTCAGTAGGCCAGTATTCAGGTGATTGGCTTTAGCCACGGTGGACCGTGCCACCAAGCTGGTTTGTAGCTAAATTTTGCTGCAGAAATTCCTCTGGACAATATCTGCAGGGTTATCCTTAACCAGGGCAATG